TTGCTTGGCTGGAGCCCTTTGTTCCTTGGTCCTCTGTCTTCTCATCTTCTCATGCAATCTCCTTGCTTTCCTTTTCTTTTTTGGGGGGGAGGGTACTGGGGTTTGAACTCAGGGCCTCACCTGTGTTAGGCTCTGCCATTTGAGCCACCCCCTCCAAGCCCATGTTGCTTTAGCTAATTTGGGGAGAGGGTCTCACATTTATGCCTGGGTTGACCTGGACTGCCATCCTGCAATTTTCCAACATAGCAGAGATGACAGACACCCACCACCACACTCAGATTGTGGGTTGAAGTGAGGTCTCCCAAACTTTTTGCCCTGACTGGCCTCAAATAGGGATCATCCCAACCTCTGCTTCCTGAGTAGCTATAATCCCAGCCTTGATTACAGACAGGAGCCACTATGCCCAACACTCATGTGACCCATCGCTTGTGAACTGTAGCCAGTGGCCCAGCATGAGTAAGGCCTTAAGTTAGGACCATCACCATACTTTGCTGAGCTGTCTTCGGACTGTGACAGTGGATGGGATCCACTGGCTGATTCAACAATAATTAACAGAATACCCACAATGTGTCAGCTGCAGAGCAGTGCACCATGCAGAGGAAACACTGCCCTCATGGCCATTGTAATCTAATGGGGTGAGAAAGATGGAAAACAATAAACAGAATAAGTGACCTGGCTGGGATTACAGATGGGAGCTACTACACCCAGCTGGAATCGTTTGCTTTTCATTTTAGTCCTTGTACGCGTTGCTCTCTGACTTTGCATGTTAATATATTATTTACTTGTCTTGGTCTATAATGAAGCTGCATGGTGTGGGAGGATCTCCCTGTCTTACTCATTCATGGTTAAATTCTCACAAGTCCCCAACATGAACCCCGTCCTGGGTTTTAATCAGGTTACCAAGAAATATTTGGTGCATGTCGTTTGTTAAGGTCCTCAATATGGGTGGGTAGCAAGTACTCAAAAACTATCACCTCTCCTCACCATCATTACCATGGCTACCACCACTCTCCTTGTCATGACGGTCAGAAGCCTGGAGCTCTAGGACCCAGATAAAGCAACACTACACACACCATAAACATTTATTTTAAAGGAAATGTCCATCAATCTACTCTGAGACGTGGACCTGGAGTGTCCCCTTTCCCCAGCTCAGAGCACTGCAGGGGTCACTTAAAGGCTGAGACTTCAGAGGGCTAGGTAATCCTCCCGGCAGTTTGGTGGGGTCTGATTTTCTCCATCCCCTTCTGCCCTCCAACACCCCAGCAACTACCTGGTACTATGAATTGGTGAAGTTTGCTTTGGTGCAGGATGGGTGAGCGCCCCCACCTCCACTTAGGAACCTCACTTTTCCTGGCTGTGTCCAGATCTTTTCTACTGGAAACTGTGGGCAGAGCTATGTTATCTTTTTGCTACCTCGAGCTCCCTCTACTGATAGAAGACTTGCCTGGAAACCAGTGGCTTTCAGAAACACAGCTGGGTGTCTGGCAGGGTCTGTCTGAACCTGTGGTCTGGTCAGAGGCCACTTTTGTCTCTTGGATGGGGTGGGGGCAGGAAAAGGTGATGTCTGTCCACAGGGACATGCAGTGGAGGGACAGGAGGGACCTTTGGCATCCTGGCTCCCTGACCATGGTGTGCGCAGGGATCTGGGGCTTGCAAGCACTTGCTGGAGACAGCTGGGATTCCTGGGGGCAGAGGCTGGCTGTGCACAAACCTCACACTGAGGCTGAGAAACAGGTAAGCCACCTGCTCTGACTTCTGTCTTTATGCAGAAGTGAAACTTCCAAGTTTTAAAAAAATCTTTTAAGAGGAGAGCCAGGTCAATGGGTAAAAACAGACTCTAAAAACACAAAAGAAACAGCACACGATTGAGATTTAAAAAGAAAGCATAGCTTTCACTGAATTTGACTCTTAGTCTGAAGTGCGTTTCAGTGCAGGGGAGCAGGTGAAGCGTCACTTCTTGGCACCCCATGGCGGGAGCACTGTGGGGAAAGGAAAGAGGAGGTTTCTTTACAGATCCATCTGTGACCAGACTGTGACCAGGCTAACAGTCCTTCCAGACTGCCACCGTCCTGTGCTGCCACTTCATATAAAACCAATGACACGCTCTTACATACAACACCTGACCCTTAAGGCATGGGTCTGTCTTCCCTTCACTCTTTCCAGTCGAGAATATTGAGATTTGGTGACATTTAAAAGACTGTTTGCAAATCACCCAACTAAGATGTTGCATATTTGGTGTTTAACCTGGGTTTACACCTGGCTCTAAACCACCAGCTCTCTCACTGCCCAGAAACGCCCCAGGCTGATTCCACCTGCCCCCTGCCCTATAATTGCTGCTCACTTCACAGCCAAAAGTTTGTTCAGTGCCTGAACCAGACAACGTGCCAGTGAGAGTAGAGATGAATAAGACAAGGTCCTGGCTTTGGGGATATCTGCTGTCTTCTCTTATAGTCTAGGACTGACTTAGTACTACCTCTCCAGGCAGACTTCCCTGGCTACTTCTTTTCTCCTCTGATGCTTTTGGACCCTCGTCATTGAGAGTGCTGTACTATATTAATAAAGTGAATAATATCTAACATTTACTGAGCACTGACTATGTGCCAGTCCAATGGAAAAATATTTATAGAGCTATCTCACTTAATCCTTATTTTAAAAATAAAAGGAAGACCCTATTGTTAACTCCTTTTTATAGATGATGAATCTGAGGTACATTTTCAATGGATGCTAAAAGCCTGGGCAATCTCGCTCTTACCCACCCTCCACCCAGCTCTGATGCTGCTGGTCATGTCTTCGTGTTGTCCCCCTGCCCTGTTGGGAAGTTCCTTGCTGGTGAAGACCCCTCTTCTTATCTCCCCTGTGCGCCCTAGCTCAGAGCTCGGCACATACACAGACTGAAAACGACTTGGTTACCAGATGTGGGGTTTGCAGGGTGGGGAGAAAACCCCACAAACGAGTTGGAGCTCTGTCTCTCAGCCAAGTGAGGGCAGGAACCATTTAACAAGAAATATCCCTAGGTAATCTTCATCCCTGAATTTCACTCGCTCAAAATGTTGCCTGATACATACTGGGGACTCATATATGTTTGTTGAGTAACTAAATGAGCTTTAAAAAGTCTGAGGATCGGGCTACTGTGGACTTTGTGCTCTGGGGGATCCATCATGCTTTGCCTATCTCACTTTGAGCCCTGCAAAAGCTAAAGGCAGGTCCTCCAAACACAAAGTGGCTGCTGCTGCCTCTCTGGCTTAGCAAATTTAGAACACCTACTTGCTATTCCCAGGGGTCTGGACTCCCCAAACTAGTACTAGTTCTAAGTGTTACTTAGGATACCCTTGTACTAAGACAGCAAGCATTCTAGACCCAATTTGCCCCCTTTCCCTCCCTGTGTCATCTTTGCTGGGTACCATTTCTGCTCCCCTGCCCCTCCTCACTCAAAGATGTCTGAAGTGCTTTTGTTTGGGCCAGAAAGATGGTTCTAATGACCCTAGGAACTTGCCTCCCTGCTCTTCTATCTTGGGTGATTTTTCATCTGAAAAACATCACATAAGCTGTTTATGGAATCCATAACCTGCCTGAAGCTTCTAAAACCTCTTTCTTGCGTGGCTTTTTATGAGTGAAGATAAACAAACAGCTCTTTCTCCAGGGACCTGGGGCCCTAGATCTTTAACCTCAGTGCTGAACCCCAGGGGACCCATGAGAGCTGAATCAGAGCCTGGCCCCAAAGGACTGTGGCTAAATATGTCACGTGGAGGAAGTGCAGGTAACAGAGCTGCTGCCTAAGGAGACATCACAGCAGAGACCTCTGAGGACAGGAAGCTGGGCAGGTACGAGCAGTGCTCAGAACCCTGAACGCTGGGCTCAGGAGAGGCTGTTAACAGGGCAACTCTGAGGGACGGCATCCTCCAGCCCCCATCTGGCACTAAAGGAACTGAGGTCCTGGGAGGGGAGGGCACCTGGCCAACGTTGAGAAGCCTGAGGGAAGTTATGTGTGAAAGACTGAAGTCCTACCACCCTGAGTGCATTTGCCCTACCCACAGACCCCCAGGGAGCATCCAAGTGTTTGTAGGGACACTGGATTGGCCCTGACGCCAGAGGGGAAGCATGGGACCTTGGCCACACTGACCAGCACCACCTCTGTCTTCCTGGCCGCAGCAACTGGTGGTTCAGATCTAAAGATGGCTCAATCAGAGAGCATCTTGGTATCCGGGTTTTTTTTTTTTTTTCTTTTGCACTGATGTTAGTAGGGTTTGAACTCAGGACCTCGGGCCTCATGCTTTCTAGACAGGCCTCTACTACTGGAGCCATGCCCCCAGCCCTCCTCTTTTATTTTTAGTTATTTTTCAGATAGGTCTTTCATTTTTGTCTGGGCTGGCCTGGACCAAGGTCCTCCTATTTAGGCCTTGTTGTACTGTGATGACAGGGGCGCACCTCCCAAGTAGCTGGGATTACAGGAATGAACTGCTGTGTCTGGCTTACCTCTGTATCTTTGAGAAAAATTCTGGGAAATATTGGTGCTCTCTGCCCTGGGCTAGAAATGAACAAAGGAAGCAAGTAGGTTCAGCAAAGCATCTTGTGATGAAATAGACCCTGGGGAAAGCAGAGAGGAGAGATGGAAAGAAGAGGGCTCCTAGGTGACAGTTCTGAGTTGCTGGGTCAAGCCTCACCTGAAGTGTTTATTCTCAGTGTTCAGTTATATGATCCAGTAAAGTTTGTTTTTAAGACAGTTATAGGTGTTTTATTATGTCAAATAGGAGACCTGTACCCCTGCCTCTGTCTTTCTCCCTAATTCACAGTTAGGAGTGCTGAGCCCAAGGGGAGGCCTCTATGTCTAAGTTGTAAATGCTCTTGAGGTGGACTCTGAAGTTTCACTGACAGTTTTCTTCAGAGCAGTGGGCTGACAAATTACATGGGTCCAAAAAAGATGTTCTCTTTACTCTGGCCCCACTCTCTTGAACACTTAGCACTGTGCACGCATCCCTGGAGGGGACAGTGACCACACTCACCTTTGACTGAAGCATATCTGCCTCTGGCTCTTCTGCACCTGGAACTGGCTGAGGTGAGATTCAGGTGTAGTGAGCTTTGGATCTCTGTACCTGGCCTAGCATTTGTCAGCAGGTCAGTAGTCACAGATGCTAGCAGAGTGGATGGATGGTCCGTCTCTTCCTACCACTGGCCTCACTCTGATAGATTCTCTTTATGCCCAACTTTCTTCCTTTAAAAAATCAGAGTGAAGTTAAAAATGTACAGCAGACAAGACCCAAAGCATCTGCCTCACAGTCTCATCTCAGACTGGGGATCTGATCTGCTGGTGGATTCCCACAGGGCCAGTGGGTAGGAGACACAAACCCCTTCCCATGTGTTCACCAGTCAGGGCGGCTGCGTGTGAAACTCTGGGCAAGAGGACAAGGGAGGGAAAGATGGGAAGGACTGAGTCACACAGGGCTGGGAATGAATGGAGTCCATCGGGATCATTCCATCTAAACCTCATCCAGAAGGAGGAGGCTCACGCTGTGGAGGCTCAAGGTCACCCCAACAGAGCAGGCAGGGGAGAGACCTCCTCTTTACAAAGCCAGGCCTGCTTTCCCCAGGACATAGGAGCCCTGGGCAGCCAGCTAGGCAGGCTGGCGAGACAGAAGGGTGTGGTGGGAGGCTCTGGGGCTCCCATGCCCTGAAGATCGACCAAGTCCGTTTGCCACTAACATACTCATTTGCCAACTGGATTTGGAGTCTCTTGGTGTGTGAGTCCTTGGGGACCAGAGAAGTGACTCAGTGCACACTTAGTATGGGGGGGGGGCGTGTGACTCAGGAGTCACTCACAGCGCTGTGCCCATTAACCTCGGAGGAGGAGGACTCATTCAAAACCTCCTCTACGCTGGGAGGGACGGGGTGTGGGGGATCCCAGGGATGGGGTTGCCCAAGCTGGAACCCTTCCGGGGCTCTGCCAGTTCGGAAATGTCCCTCCTATCTCCACCTGCCAATGGTCTCTGTGCCAACAGCAGAGCCCAGGACCAGAAACTCTCGGCCAGGTCCCTCTCCTGTGCTGATCAGCCTCCTGCTCGCTCCCACTTGAAACAAGGTCTCCGGACCCCTGTCTTTTCCTGACCTCCCTTTGAATCTGAGCGGGCCCACCTCCCACAAGTCCCCCTTAAACCCCTACCTCCAAGTTTTCCTGCCCCGCCTCCCTCTTTTTGCCCCATCCCGGCACCCACTCCCGTCCAGGGGGTGCCTGTCTGCTCCGATCGCCCCCCTCCAGTTCCCTCCGCCTCTCCACTCCCTCGGCTCCGCCCCCAGGCCCCGCCCTCCCCGCCGGCCCGCGTCCCCCCCCGCCCCTTCCCCATCGCCAGCCCCCGGCCAGGGGCAGTGGGGAGGGGAGCGCGCGCCCCCCCCTCCCCGCGCCGTCCCCGCGCGCGCGCCGCGCCCCTCCGCGGCCTCCCCGCGCCCGCCTCCCGCCTTCCCCTCCTCCTGGTGACGTCCGGGTCCCTGCCCGTCTGAAAACTCCGCGCCGCGGCGGTGGAGGCGGCGGCGGCGGCGTTGGAGGAGGAGGAGGAGGAGGTGGAGGAGGAGCAGCGCGAGCCGAGGCGGCGGCGGGGCCCGAGCCGGAGCCCGCCCGAGCGGCAGCCGCGGCCGCGGGAGCGCGGGGAGCGCGGGGCGGCCCGGAGCGCGCCGGGGTCCCCGCGCCCCGCTCGCGCGGCGGCGGCGGCGGCGGCTCGGAAGATGGTGGCGGCGCCGTGCGCCCGGAGGCTGGCGCGGCGCTCGCACTCGGCGCTGCTCGCGGCGCTCACCGTGCTGCTGCTGCAGACGCTGGTCGTGTGGAATTTCAGCAGCCTGGACTCCGGGGCCGGGGAGCGCCGCGGGGGCGCAGCGGCCGGCGCCGCCGAGCAGCCACCCCGGCCCCGGCCCCGCGCCGGGAGCGCCGGGACCTGCCCGCCGAGCCGCTGCAGCCCGCGGGGCCGGCGGCGGCCGAGGAGGAGGCGGCGGAGGACGGGGGCCCCCGGCGCGGGCGCGGGGAGGCCGCCCCGGAGAAGCCCGCGCGCAGCAGCCGGCCAGCCGCGGGGCACTGCCCGCCCGGGCGCTGGTAAGATGCCCTTTGCGGCGCGCAGCCCCTCCGCTGGGACCGAGGCCGGTGGCCCGACTCACGCCCCCTGGCCCCGGGAAGTCCTGGCCGCCACGCTGCGCCCCTGTCCCCCACTCCCTGTCCCCGGCTAGGCGCCCAGGTCGTGCGCTGCCCCGCGCAAGAGTCTGAGCGCTGCCCTCCTGGGGTTGGGGAAGTTGTCCCCAGCGGAGGCGCTGGGTGGTGGTGGTGGTGGCTGTGGGGGGGGGGAGGTTACTCCTGCCTGGCCAGGTTCCTGTTCCCTGTCACTCTCGCTACGCGCTCGAGTTGCTCTCTGCGTGTGGTGTGGCTATGGGTGCCTCGCTCCGTGCCCAATCGTGCCCGGATCCTTGGCCGCCGCTGCCGCTCCTGGGTGGTTCTCCAAACAGCCTCTCTTTGGTTGGTCTTTTTTGCCGAGTTGGCTGCAGACAGCTGAGCCCTCTCTGTTTGCCCTGGCCTGGAAAGGGGTCTGGGTTGGATGTCTCAAGTCCCAGACGAGGTCCCAGAGTCAAGACTTAGTCGTGGCCACCTGGTCTGACTTTGGGTCCCTTTTCCCCTTCTGGTTGTTGTTGATTCTCACGTCTGTCCCCATCTTCTTGTTTCTAACCTTGCCACATCAGTGCCCTCCCCATATCGCCTCCTGCCACCTCCAGTATTAGAGCGTGGTCCTTGTCTTAGCCGATTGTCTGTGTCTCTGGCCCGATTGCATCATCAACTACTTGTCCAGCCACACTTTCACAACACCTTCTGTGGGGTCTCTTTGCTCTCGTTAGCTGTGAACAGTCAGGGCTGAGACTGTCTTCCCAGACTAACTGGCTGACTGGGTGGGGAAGTGACTTGTCTTCCTACATATCCCCAACTTCTCCAGCGATGGCTTTCCTCCCTTACTCTGTAGACTGCATTGCTAAGTCCTCTGAGCTAGAGGCAGGGGGTCAGAGACCCCATCTCTGGAGCAAGGTGCCAGCTCTGCATGGGTACACCCATGTGTTGTTGTCTGTCTTCATCACAGCCACTTGCCTGCAGGGATTCGGCTAGCCACAGAAGGATATGACACCAGGAGAGTGTTTTTAGGAGCCCCAGGCACTGAATACTTGTGTCTTTTGTCAGTTTGGGTGCCCTCGCTGAAGACTGCCTGTATACGCATCGTGGGGTGTGCTTTCTGATCTGCTAAAGTTCTTTTGGAGTTGACTCGACCCTCTTTGCTGAAGTGTGGCTCTTTGTGCCTGTGGGCTGAGCCAGCCCCAAGACGTGACAGCATTTCACATTGCTGTGTGGATAGCAGGGAGAGAGTGGAGTGAGATTGCTGATGGAGAACGGGGCATTCCCATTTCTCCCAGCTGCTTGTTTATAGAGAAGAGGACTTAAGGGCAGTGCCTTTGAACTCCTGGAGTTGACAGTGATGAGTTCAGGCAGATACGCAATTAGAAGTTCTTTTGGGATTCAGAGCCTTTTGGGAGGTGGCAGGAGGGTTCTGGGGGATGTGCTTTTGGTCCAGGGTGGGCCTGGGGAGTTAACCTGGGGCTGACTGTACCTTTGCATCTGGGGCTAGACCTTTGGGGTGCAAATACCACCTGTTGAGACAAGAGAAAAGAAGGAGGGAGGCTTGCTGGCTGGTCTCTTCCTAGGTCCCTGATGTTCCAAGCATCTGTCCTTACAAGCCTTGTGTTTAGTTCAGTGTCTCCTTCTCTTATATCCCAGCCCAGACACAGACGATGTGCAGTTGGGAAGGTGGGTGGGAGCATGTCCTCTTCTTTAGAAAGAAAAATTCCTTTTGGAATTCCATTTCTACCAGTGAGGTTGATTTGCTTTTCTGAAACTCTGTTGTTATCTCTAAGTTCCTCTGCTGTCCCCCAACCTGCATCTCCCAGTATTTCATTTTCTGTATTTTCTGAAATAAAAGTATTTTATCGTCCTTTTTGCACTGTCTCTTTCCGGTAGTTCTCTCCCATCCTGTGCACTGTTTTGCTCCTGAACTTGATTTTTATTTGATTTGATCATAACTGTCCTCTCTTTCCTCTCCCCCACATCCACCCCCGCCCCCATGGGTTGCTCCATCCCAAAATTGTAGTGGACACCTACTGGCTTGAGCTTGGGGTGTATCTTTCTCTAGCTGTGCCCACCCAGCCCCTGCCCTTCCCCAGGGCTCAAGGAGACCAGAAGGGGGCAGGCTGTTCCCAAAGTCCTGCATAGCTGGAGCTAGGGATGCTGACAAGAATAGATAGCACCAGAAGAGCCCTTGCAATATGTGGTTCCTTTCTAGACCCTGCTAGGGGCTGTGTACATGATGCTTTGGAGAGACATTTGGGAGTAGAGTGGGACATTAAAAAAAATCCCTGTCATTTTCAGTAGCTCTTACAAAGAACTGTGGAGGCATGTGTTTGTTTGCACAATGATGCTTCATTTCTGTGCTCTGTGGTGGGTGGAAGGTAGGGTGGAGGGATGGACAACTGTGGATCTTACATGCAAAGGGAATCCATGTCTGGAATGGGTGTATCACAGAGTGTCAGGCAGGCATTGTGTATACTGCATTTTCCAAACCAGACCTCGCTGCTTGCTTCCTTTTTCCTGCTCTCTAAAGCTTTTGCATTTGTGTGTGCGCATCTTTTATGTTTGGGGAGCTGCACCTTGCTGGAAAGCCCTGATTATATTTTTGGTGCATTTAAGAAGCCAGGAAGGAAACTCCAGGTTTGCAAGCAGGCAGAGTCAGAGGATGTGAGGACAATGAGATAGGCACGTCCATCCAAGCTTTGTAAGCATCCCCTTTTCCACTCAGCCTCCCTCCAAGTTCCTATCTAACAATCCTGCAGATTGCAGCCGAATTTGGTGGTGAGGTGAGTCTCCTGGAAGCACTGTGAACTTCTCTAGCATCTCAGAATTTAGAAGCAGAATTTAGGCTCATTACAGAGGAAGGGAAAGTACCGGGATGGAGGCACTGTCAGAGATCAGCCTGCAGATGCTGAATGGGTGGGGAGAACATGAAAGAGAGCTGTGTGTTAATGTAACAGTGTTTATTTTCTCTCCCTTTGCTGAGTCTTTGCATTTATTGCTTGTGTCCAGAAACAAACTGTTACTTAGTAAGTTTCATTTAAGAAATCTAATGTTTTATGGCTCTTCTCTCCTCCACACAAGCACTTAAAGTAGAATAGGGTTTTTATATGTTCTGACCCCTTTAAAATGTTGATTTTTCAGAAGAAATTCCTCATACTTCACATTACTCAGATAACTCAAGATTCTTTCAGACATTTGCAGTGACTTTGAAAACTGTTCCCTGGCTCCAGACTGCCTCTCGTTCTAACAGCCTTGGGGGCGTAGCTTTTTTTTCTATCTAAATGTTTTGAGATGGGAGAGAACACAGGGTATTTTATTGATGGTTCCTTTTTTTTTTTTTCTTTCACACTCTCAACGGAGTTTTATTTTGTTTGAGCAACACATTACACTTTGTATACAGAAATATACGCCATTGAACAACATTTATCTTACTGTAAGTGTTGCCATCTGCTTAATCATGTTTTAAAAATTGTTAAAAACATAAATAAAACTCAGAATTGTACATATATACATATGTATAATATAATATAATCTAGTATAATATTATAGTATCTATTACAGGTTGAGTATCCCCTGTCTGAAATGTATAAGGCCAGAAGTGTTTCATTTTTTTTTTTTTTTTTTGGTGGCACTGAGGTTTGAACCCTTTGCACTTGCTAGGCAGGGGTTTACCACTTGAGCCACACCTCCAGCCCTTTTTGACCTGCTTATTTTTGAGATAAGGTCTTGCTTTTTGCCTGGGCCCTGGGCTGTATCCTCCTATTTCACACTTCCTGCTGGAGCTGGGATGACAGGTGAGTGCTACAATTCCTAGCCATTGGTTGAGATGAGTCTTGCTGACCTCAAACTGTGATCGTTCTGATCTCCAGCTCTTGAATAGCTAGAACAAGTTTTGCATTTTTTAAATATTTTGAAATATTAGCATATACATAATGAAATGTCTTGGGGATGGGACCCAAGACTAAACACAAAACTCATTTATGTGTCATATACACCTTATACACGGAGCTTGAAGGTTATTTCATATACACTGTATATAAAATACAGTACTACTGTATTTTAATTGTGTCCCTCACATTAGGGCAGGTGTGGAACTTTCCACTTGGGGTGTTGTGTTGATACAAAGAGAGTTTTGGAGTTTAGAGCATTTAAGATTTTGGATTTGTGGATTAGGGAGATATATGTACATATGTGTGTGTGTGTGCATATGTACATATACATAGATATAGTCATAGACAGTTATTGTCTTCCATCCTTCTCACACTTTAGACGCCCTGTCTGATTTGTGATCCAGCAGGTTGGGTAGTAAAATGCTTGCTGGTTTTCAGATAGGAAGCTGACTGACACATCATTTCTTACATCCTAAGCAGGTCCACCTTCCATGCATGGTCGCCACAGGAATGAGCTGGCATAGAGTGCTGACATCATTTTGTAATCTTGTGTTTGTGTGTGTGTCCAGAAAACAAACATATCCTTCAGGCTATCTCTGTAGTAAGAATCTACCTTCCCATCCAGAACTAGTCATGATGAGTGGGGCCATAAATCTATGTGCAAGAAACCAAGTATGTGCCCTCTGCAGGCCACAGCACAAGGCGAAGTTTGACCTTGACCCTGGCTTTGGGTCAGTGCTGCTCTCAGGGTTGTCACACATGAGTTTTCTCTTCTTGTGAGTCTCCCCATCTCTAACGGCCCACACCATACTCTCACCTCCCAGAAACAAAGAGAAAGTACTTTGCTTATAAAAGGACTTTTATAAATAAAATAAATAATTCTCAAAGCCTACCCCAACAAAACCCAGATTTAAAAAGAGGGGTGTGGGAACAGAAGAAAAAGTCACAGGGATTGTGTGTCAGGTCCAGCACAATCGAAGAGGCCTCTGTGTGACAGCCTCTGTTATACCTGGGTGCCAGCTTTGTGCCCTCTCACCTCTGCTTTGC